TTGCAACCGTTTACATTAATGAAGCAGCTGACCCTAAGCTTACCCTTAGCATGAGCTTTTTTCTAGAAAAAAAGGGGATGTTACTTCAAACATTACTGGATCAAAGCCAGACTGTCAGTGGGGTGGATTTACGATGAAATCCTAGTGAAGATGCCACTTCGGCCCTTTTGCAGTTATCACCTAACTAAGTAAATGTTAACATGTACTTACATGTGTATATGTTGCTCAGATTTCCCTGCAAAAAGAGGTCCTCTTCATCTTTACTGCCCTTTGGTAATTGTCAACACTTTAAACACTGTGTCACTTTTTCCTTCCCTGACTACAGGCGAAGCAGTTAGACTGATTAAGTATGACTGCTGAGCAACTCGGTATGAATCGAGTCATTCTATAAGAACTCGTCTGAGAATCTCAAGCTAATATGGGCCTCAGGCATCAGGGGGGGCAGTAAAATAAATATAAAAGTTTCCTTTTTCTCAGCAAAGGCTGTGCTGACTCAAAGGCAAAGCTTGAACGTCACTAAAACTGAGGATCATTGATGCATGTTTTTTCATGTTATCCATTACTGATGAATTAAGTAACCTCAACGACTCAATAAAAGGGACCTAAGAGACATCATTACTGGGGAATACAATATCCTTTTTTTGAACTACAGTCACTCATGTCGGCTGAAGCATCATCTCTGTGTTAATGATATGAAGTTAAGCAGTGACTGTACAGAATTGGATCTACCCTGCTCACGTCTTGTTGCTGCTCATTAGACTGTACAGTAGTCCACTGTGTGCTGCACTGACTGAATGACTCAAGGCTTTAGTGTTGCTTCACTGATCCATTTGAACACCTCAGTGAGCATGGATTTACAGACATTCATGTGCTTCTCACTATGCTGTCGCCATACCACTGGTGTGTTTCCCCACGTACATGCTATGCACTGTACTTCAGCCGCACAGTGCTACAGTGCCAACCAGAAAGCTAAGGTCTGTGCTGTAAACACACCTAACAACAACATCAGACGACAAAAATACAAAGTCAAATTCCACACGCTGAAACAATAACGCTCCTGTGAATATTTAGTGTGAATGCTGTGGAGAAGCATTCCACTATAGTTCTTCAAATCTTTATATCTTCTTCTTCTTATTTCAACCAATATTTTTCTGTCCGATAACTTCAGCCTACTTTCAGCTACAGAAACCATTCAAATGTCAAAAATATTTAGCCTTTTCAGCATATGATAGGAAACTTTCAACTTCTTCCAAATACTTTATGAAATATTTAGCTTTTTTCACCTGTAACTCAATGGGAGGAACCCTCAAATCCTCTTTTACCTACACCTTGCGCCAAATGCTTCTCCTTCCACATACTTTCAGCTAGGGACTTCATTCCAACTTTAAAATGATCACAAGACCCTCAGCTATAACACTTGTTCTTCAGATTTTTCATATCTATATACACTTTATACATCTATATACACTTTTTAAGATATTTAACTTAGTTTGGAGCTCGGTAAAGAGGCCTTCTTCAGATTTTAACATTAGTGTGTACTCAAACTTCACATGTGTGCTAACAGTCCAGCCGTGAAGACATCTAGGTGACAGTTTTGAGATTTCTTCAAATGTTGTTGCCATGGCAACACAATGCTCACCATGAAACACGGTTGTCTCATAACTTCAGGGGAAATGCTCCAAACGGCCCAGAACTTCACAGGTTTGGTAACGATGCAGCCATCAACACATCTAAGCGTATTATGGAGTTTCATCAAATGCCGTTACCATGGCGACAGATCACTCACCATCAAGTTAGTTCAAAAGTTTGCAGTTAAAATATTCTGATGCTTTTCAAAGCCTTTTTACTTTCTTTTCTTCTCTTAATACACATTCATTCACTGCGACGTACATCTGATATGTAAATCCTTCAGCCTACTTTCAGCTATAAACCATTCAACTATTAACTTATTCAGCTATTTCAGGACATTGAGGCTATACATTTTGTTGTTTATACCTTTTAAAACATTTTCTTTTAAATATTAAGTTTCTTCACTATTTTTCCTACTCTTCCAGTTTAACATATCAATTTCAAGTTTCCAAAAAAGTCATTGCAATGCGTTTGAGCTGTAACAATTTTGATTCAAATCATTTCACTTTTCTGCATTTCTCCGCTAAGTTCAGCAACACACTTACTTGGTCTCTGTAGCTAAAAGCAGCTACAGAGACCATTCAGCTAATAAAATATTCAGCTTTTTCTTCATTTTCAGCAACAAATGAACACACTTTACAGCATTCGCACATATTTTGAGCAGGAAATGCATTTTCTAGTTTAATCTATGACTCAAGTTTGCTTTCCCTTTTCATGCATTCTCAAACTCAGGAAGTTGTGATGGTCTTAGAGAGTTTGGAGAACATTTTATTTGTAAATAAACTTGAATTAATGTGTTTGTAGTAGATTATCTTTAGCTCTGGTGTTATCAATGTACTGCTTATGATATCCTCCCTATACCTTAAAACCCTGAATACAATATATTTGGGATTTTTCAAACATAATCTTTTAGCTCTCTGTTATTGGTTTGTGCCCACAGTAACACACATTATTTACTTGGGTCAGAATGTTAATCCTAAAGAAGCGGAGCTGTTGAATGACATACTGTAGCTTTACAGCACTGAACAACCACAAAGATAAAGAAGAGTTTCAAGAGATGCAATGACACAGAGAGTCTACTAGATGAGCAGATATCCACACACACACACACACACACACACACACACACACACACACACACACACACACACACACACACACACACACACACACACACACACACACACACACACACACTTCAACTGAGTAGTTTCTAAAGAGCCACAGTCCTACTACATTTTATGAAGCAAAATCTGCCCTCTGACAACAACAAGTACCTTTTCTATTCAGATAGTAGCTATTTTGTTACAGACACCGTTTAAAGTAAGTGAAGGATTCCTCACGTGACAGTGACTCTTTGTGTGTGTGTGTTAGAGAGGGAAAGGGACAGGAGAGCACGTGCCAGGCAGGGCTGAGCTATTAGCAGGCCACTTGAGAAGGCTTATGTAACAGCGCTGTGGCTGCTGCAGTACCTGCTAGGCCTGTAGTCGCTGTCATCATTTTACACACAAACACCCACACACTAATTCCCATCCACATGCACAGCACACCAGAGCAGACACTCAGTGTAACGCGATCCTACTCTTTTGCTTGGCACCACATCACTCTATCCTACCAGATGCACTCATTATTCTAGTCAATGTGTGTGCGTGTGCGTGTGCGTGTGTGTGTGTGTGTGTGTTTTCTTGAGGTCATCGGGTTTCAGCTCTTTTCCATCAAGGAGAGGGGAGGGCAGAGTTTTTATTAGGACAGTAGCTTCATGTTGTGTAGTCGGCCCAAAAACTGTTGTGCAGTGTTGCAGGAGATTACTATAAAGACGGAGCTTTATAAAGACGGAGCTTTATAAAGACGAACTTCTGGCTCGGCTAGGAGAGGGCAGACAGCGCAGCATCACAGACTCCTATACTTTCTAATTCAACAGTTTTGACATTACAGCTTCTGCTAGTGAACCAAATATTTCTTTCATCCAGAATCACTGTGTGAGATTATTAAGAGTCTGAACTCAGCTTTGGCACATTGAATAAATAGATTATGAACAGCCTCATGTACGTAGTTGTTGTCACTTACTTGACGTCCATAAAGTTTGATGCATATCCAGATAAAGTATATTTTAACTCTATTTAAACAACTTATATTAAATTGTATTTCTGCCGGGTGAGGTTTCTTTGGTGCTTAGTTCATTGTTCATGTTACTTCTAGTCTATTCCACATATGTATGATTCAAATGCATTTGACATTTGGGATAAACCTTGTTGGATGCTGTTTTTATATCATTGGTTGTCTTTACATTTTTCTTTTTTGGTAAGATGTATTGAAGGTTTAACCTATAACATTGCTTTTACATGAACTTGCAAGCAGGTGAGGTTTTAGCAGAAGCCCTCAGTCTGTTTATCTTATGTCCTGCAACATGAGAGCCTGTATACAAAAAAAACAACGACTATTTTAAGGATATTCTGGGGCTTTAAAATAATTTCCCCATTTCATAAGGATCATTAAAGATTCACTTTCAATAAAAAAGAAACAATTGCTACTTTAAGTAACAAAATGGAAACAAAAGTGGGTTCAGCCAATGTTTCTCTCAGTGTGTGTTTCTGCTATGCAGCACTGTAGGAGTTGTTTGTATAATTTGCTGACTCATCATTGCCTCATCACACAGTGATACCTTGGCCCCGCATCAGAGAGGCGACCTGTTGGAAGACCTGCTTATGCATATTAATTCAATGTCTGTCACCTGTTTATAATGCAAATTGCTCATTATCACGCCGCCATTCTTATGCCCATCATGGCCAAATGTTAATCACAAAATGTGCCATTGTACTCTGAGGCTCCATTTGAATCCATTAACCTAACGGCAACACCTTTAGTTACCCTTACATCCTTCAACTTCTTGTCTGTGTGTCAGTGCAGCAAGTTGGTGCATTGATGATAATAGAGCAGGACTGGGTTTAATTACTATTTAACCACACTGTCTCCCAGCAGGTTAGGAGCTCAGCACAGTGAAGACTACCTGAGCACGGAGCCATCTCTCTCCAGTGGCGGGGGGGGCGGGGGGAATAAATTGGGATGCTTGGCACAGGCTAGAGGCTCAGTCTCATTTTTCAATCGTTCGTCTGCTGTACAGCCTCACGCATTTCTAGACCACTGCGCAAGTCTGCCAAGTGAGCAAAGCTGCAAAACTTTAAGACTCCAACACTGAGACAATCTGTATGCTGTCTGCCGCGGCTGGCCAGAAAATATGAATTAAGGGGCGAAAAAAAAGTGTTTGTTTGTCCATATGTTTCTGGAATAATAAACAAACAACTGTGGTTTGGGTGTTTTTATGTATTTGTGTGTCATCTAGATAAAATGTGCAGTCTCATATTACTTTTTACACTTGCAAACAAATCAACTGCTTTAATGGTCAGGCAGCTTTGTGGGAACACATTTTTAGGAGGAATAAAAGATGTGTGTGTTACAATTTCCTGTTTGTGCAATGCATGTTTGTTTTGTTTACTGACCGCTATCATCTGGGCCACGTAGCTCTCAGGGCCGGTGTACTCGGTCGGATCCTTCACCCTCACCAGAACCAGGAAGTAAAGGTAGTGCCACATGTTGTGTTCGGATTTAATGTGCTCCTCAAAGGACACCGTCTTGTTATCAAATTTGTCTCTCTCCAACCCTGCAAGAGATTTGTTTGGTTTAACATAAGATATTCCAAACATACTTCACTGTCATGTGCATACAGAGTTGGGTGAACCACATAGCTGTACACACCACAGATGAAACAGGTGGTTTTCAGGATCTCCTCCTTCCTCTGTTTTTCACTTCTCAAGTCAGCGAAGGTGTCGATGATAACACCAAAGATGAGGTTAAGAACGATGATGATAACGATGAAGAAGAACAGAAGGTCGTAAACCACCCGGGCCGCAAACAGAGGCTCCTGGATGTTGCGATTACAGGGAAAAAAAGTGAAAAGAGTGCATATTTAAACTTTCACCTAGACTTAAATTAATCTTGAACAGAAGCTACTGTAGCAGTAATTTATGTATAGTTCAAGTCATTAAAAAGAGACATGGGGTATTAAAAAATGATTCTGTTATAAGTAGAAACACTTCATTCATGTTCATATTTAAGCCGTATTACCTCTTTGGAGGGTCTCCGGAGGATGTCTCCCACGCCTCCTCCATTACGTAGTCCCTGGTTCAAAACTGTGATTATACACATGAGCAGAGTGTCGCACACCCGCTCCGTTCCATCGTCTATAACCAGACACATACATAGAGACAAAATGCTTAGAAACATGAAAGAAGGGAAAAATGTGCAATATTGGCTTCTAAATATCTACACAAAATATTCAACATGAGTACAAATCATTAATCTGAATACAACTTGAAGACATTAAATTGAACTAAGAATGTGTGAAAGATGTTAAGGACACTCAAATTCAAGCTCAGGAAAAACAGCCCGACTTATTTCAGATAATTATCACTCAGCTGACTTTGATAACTTTGATAATAAAACACCTTGTGAGCGGAACAGCTGATAATGATGTGACTATAGATCTGGGGCCGTATTCACAAAGGATTTTAGGGCTAAAAGTAGCTCCTAACTGGCGAATTTAGGAGAAACTCCTAAGCATAATGGGCGTGTCAGTCTTAAATTTAGGACTCCTAATTTTATTCACTAAGAGCAATTCACAAAGTATTTTAAGCCTAAAAGTAGCACCTAAGTCTGGGAGAGCTTAAAAGTCCTCGAGAGGACTCCTAACTCAGTAAGACCTATTCACAAAGAATCTGAAAATGGCTGAGAGACTAAATGTTTTGGAGACAATGGAAGACTGTGAATTGATCAAGAGATATAGGCTAAATCGTGAGGGTATCAAACTTGTTGTGGAATTAGTGCGGGATGCAATAACATCCCTGACTAACAGGAATAACCCGATTAGTCCGGAAATAAAATGTTTGGCAACACTACGATATTTAGCAACAGGGAAAATGCAACTTTGCAATGCCGACGATTTAGGAATATCGCAACCATCAGTCAGCTGTGCCATAAACCAAACCATCAACGCGCTCTCTAGACCACATATCATCCAACAGTTTATCCGGTTTCCTTTGGACAATCAACAACTACACAGGATCAAAGCCAACTTCATGGCAATGCAGGTATGCCCGGTGTGGTCGGTGCTATTGACGGGACGCACATAAAAATAATTGCGCCATCAAAAGATGAGGACGTGTTCGTCAATAGAAAGAAAGTACATTCCATCAACACGCAGATTGTTTTCATTCATCATGATAGGGGGACTTGAACGGCGGTATGGGCTGTTATTGAAAGTGTTTAAGTGCTGGAAATATGCTCATTGGATAATAGTTTGCAGGGTGCTTTTAATTGCCTCCTCGATTTAATGCAATTTACGTATTATTATTGTTTGCTCTCTCTCTTTAACGTGCATATACAACGTCATTATCGTGGTCTGCACAAACTTGTCATCATGTGTGTATTCTGCTAACTGCACTGTCCATAACTATTTGATAGGAATACATTTCTAGCCTAGGCTATTTCCTTGTTTTTCGGTGATTTAGTGGGCTCGTTTGTGGGATGTTGCGGATGAGTTTCACCGAGACCGCCTACTCTGAACAACCAATCACCGTACTGACCGCTTCTAAACTCATGCACGAGAATCGACGTCATCCATGGCAACGGCGCGTCACTCTTAGTTCAGTTAGTGATTTATCCTTAGTATGAGTAGGTCTCAGCGGCTTTGTGAATAACTTTTAAGAAAAAACTCCTACGTAAAATGTTTTAGCGCGAGTTAGGAGCACTCCTAGCGGTAAGATAAAATGCTTTGTGAATACGGCCCCAGATGGATACCTTCAACTCACTCCCCTCCTCAAATGTGAGAAAAATAAAATAATTTAACCTCAATAAACTGTTATTCATATCTCATAAAATGTACTTTTATTCTAAGTATAAAAATGGCATGCAGAGTTTGACTGCTGTGGAGACAGAGGGGGTAGATGATGCGAGATCACGTGTGGCCTTACAGGTGATCGAGGGAGATGCGGGAACACAAACAAGAGAGTGAGTCACCCCTCTGCCTCATCAAGTTTCTTTGTGTGCACTCGCTGTGTGTGTGTGTGTGTGTGTGTGTGTGTGTGTGTGTGTGTGTGTGTGTGTGTGTGTGTGTGTGTGTGTGTGTGTGTGTGTGTGTGTGTGTGTGTGTGTGTGTGTGTGTGATAACCTTTCATGAACTAATTACTGTGGGAAAGGTAAAATACACAACCACATCTCGATGAAACCAAAAAAAACTTTGATCATGTCAACTCAGCAGTTTATTATGAGAAGTAAAATAACAAAAACTTACCAGGACCAGGTTGAGGTGTTGAAAGTGGGCAGCTATCTTTTGTACATGAGCCAGCAACTTCATTGTTACTCAATTGATCCCCTTTTCCTTTTCAAAGAGAAAAAACAAAAGGGGAAATTATGTGAAGTTGATTAATGAGCACCGATTATTTCTAAATGAGAAAACATGATTAAATTGTGCTCTGGCGTTAAAACTCCTTCCCACTAATTTTCATTAGCTCCGGTAAAAATCAGTAAGAAAGATTTAGTCAGATGTTATGTAAACTGAGACGGCAGCTGCTGGGTGGGCGGCAAAGTGTTGCTGAAAAAACCTGAACAAATCATTTGCACATCGGTAAAGCCCCGAGCAGCAGAGGAGCCGTGCTGGAGTGTGACAGAGAACTGTACACCTGATCCAGTGTCAACAGAGAGGCTTTCTTTCCTGACAGAATGGAGGACAGAGGGCAAGGCCGGGAGACAAGAGGAAGAGGAAGAGAGGGGGGGCGGAGCAACTGAGGCGGGGGGCAGGGGTCACAGCCTCGGCAGCAGTGTGGACAGGGTGCTCTCTGATGCCTATGCTCGCCCCACAGTTCACGGAGAGACAGGAGTGAGTGAGCGAGGCTGCTTACATAAGCCAACACTGCCGTGTCTGCTGAGCTCTATTCAGCAAAACACAGGATGGCGTGGCCACCAGGTTATGCAACAGGTGCACATGTGCACATGACCGTTGGAGCAATGTGCAGAAACTCATTAACACACCCACGCTCTCCACAGTGTTTTCAAAACATGTGCCTGGGTGTGTATATACAGTTCACCGTACATTTCCAACACGTTTTATGTGGTCATTGTTCAGAGCAACGTTATTTCTACAGTTCCTATCAAGAAATATAATTAAATAAAAGGAGAAATAAACAATAGCTGAAAGTTACTGTGAATGTTAAAGTGTCTGATGCACCATGTATAGACTGCCCAGTCTGCTGCTTATCTTGTATTTTGCACAAGGTTTGAAACTCATTAACTTTTCAGATTTACCACGAGTAATTGATACGTCTGGGGCAGAAAATGATCAACACAGACGTTTATGAGGGCAGTGTAAAAGAATGCAGGTTCAGGAGATGTTTCAGGTTAACTAAGGTTAAATTCAGGAGGAGATCAGCCTCAGAAAATACAAAAAATAAGTATAAAGTCACGAGCACTCTCATAATTCTGTCTTTTTTTGTTCAAAGTATTTTGGAGTCGTTTAATGCAGTATGGACCTGACACGAGGGGGAATTGTAAGACTTTATCAGGAATATAGCAACTACATGGCCAGTGAATAAATATTAGAGTTTTTTTTGCAAAGACAAGAGTTAAGCTCCACCAGGTGTCAGGTACAATCTACTAATAATGAATAAATTGTTCAAGATACAGTGTTTGGTCCCTTTACTCTGCGAGGCGCAGTTAAGAATCACTTAGAGTGTTTTAACAGGTTCTGACCTGGTGTAGGAAGACGGTCGACCTCCATGCGGAAGTCATCCTTAAGGAAGAGGAAGCCGATGATAGAGAAGAAGTAGACGAGGAAGATGGCCAGAACAGCTGTCAGAATAATAGAGCGGCCATTCCTGGTCACACTCTTTATCACGTTGAGCAGAGTCTCCTCTCGGATCACCAGGTCAAACAACTGAAAGGAGATCAACATTAGCAACCGTTTATATCTGAAGTGCAAAACTAATCAATCGTTCACACTGTAATTGAACTGACATTTTTGAGACATTTCTTACCAAAAAGCTGTAGAAGAACTCGTGCACAAAGAGACCCAGGACGCAGATGATGGCGTAGCCCAAATGGTAGATGAAGAGCATGTCCATAACAACTGCTTTGTAGCCTCGGGTGAATGTCCCCTGGTTCCCCACAAAACTTACAAGAAAGACCAACTTGTTGAACAGCTAAAAGGGAAGAAAAGAGTCATGAAGACACTTGCTTTGATGTGTGGGAAGACAAACATGGACATTTCCCCCAGTAACACTACTTACATTGACAGCACCCAGCAGCAACAGAGCAGGGGCGAGGCCCATAGTGTAGATGGCCCGTAGGATGAGGGAGACGAGGAGGAACAGGATGCCCAGCGGCTTGGGTAAGAAGGCAAGTAATGAGGTGAACACCCCCAGCGCCACCCACAGCGAGATATTCCAAAAGGGGGACAAGGTGCCTGGTCATGAGAAAAAAAGGCAGAACTTAAAGTAGCGCACATCAGTGCTCTAAAATATTGTGGCATTTCTCTCATTAATTATTCACCTGAGGTAAGAGCTTAACTTAGCAAAACAGAATGAGAGGCAACACTTTAAAATGTCAAAACAGTGGTCCGCAGGGACGCTCAGCTTCATCACTCAGAACTGCTTTTTCCGCTCGCATTGTAAACCATTGAACTGAAGCTCAGGATTCTTTATGAAACTCCAATGCCCTGATCCTTTACTGATTAGAGAGGCTTCTTCAGGAGAACACTTAAATAAGGGAAAAACAACATTTGAGCACACTATAACACAAAACCGCATTTTGCTCCCATCCGTGTTAGATCTTGAAAAGCCCCAGATTGTGACTGGTATTGAAGTGGCACATTAAACAACACCTGAATGCACCTTCCCTATACTGCAGATCAATGCCATATAAAGACATGAAGTTGGGTAGTAACCAATTAGGCCATTTACAAAAAGACACTAAAACCACCTGAACAAAAGGCCAATAGCTTTTGCCATATTGTATGAAAGTACAATTTTGATAATTTGCTTCTCCTGGGCATGGGCTTACATGGGCTTGCACCTCCCACACTGAGTCAGTTCATAATACGGACATGGTAATAGCAGCAGGGCAACAAGGGAAACTACCAGAGGGGAGTGCTTTGTAGGGCTGATCAATTAATCGTATTTTAAATCGCAATTACGATTATGGCTTGCAACGATTACGAAAACAACGTAATCGAAATAAAACGATTATTAGAAACGTTATTATTTTTTCAAACACATTTAGTTTTTTTATTGGTTTTTCAGTTGAATTATACTTAAAGTTCAGGGTAATCAACTGTTAAAAACATACTGTTCAACATTTTTTTTCTTTTTTTTTCAATGTTTTCAAAGTAAATGGATAATTGTGATATCAATTATTGACCCAAATAATCAAGATTATGATTTTTGCCATAATCGAGCAGCCCTAGTGCTTTGGTGCAAAAGAGACAACCAAAGTTTGAGTAAACAGTTATTTCAGTCAAGGCAACCCACTCCCTGAAAAGTATTTATTTTGACATACTGTAAGAAAGCACTTCTTAACTTACCTTTAACATAAACTTAAGAGATGGCAAAAATTACATCAGACCTGCAATCATAAGGAACCAGAATACCTCGTATTTCATGTTTTAAAATATATTTGCTACTACTACCACTACTACCTTTGTAGTAGTATCATATCCTGCCCTGTACATCTGAACTATCTAACTAATTAGCTGAATAGCAAACTCTGAGATGCTGATTAGTGTGCACATTCCCATGTAAATAAATAAATAAATAAATGGAGTGATGGAGGCTCTGTACCACCACGCAGGTGTTTTCAGTTAACCTGACTGATTACACCTCTGGGTGAAGTTGTGCAGAGCTACAACAGGGGAATCACATGGGTGAATACCAATAAAGATGATTAAAGTGAGGCACATGATATACAAACACTGCTACGGACAAAAGTCAAACCAGGCTAAAAAGTGTACTGCGGCTCTTTATCACTGTTACGTGCTCCCTTCCTTGTTGGTGCACCTGGTCTGCCCCTGGCTCCGCCTCTGCCCAGGTGTTCCTAGATTCCACTCAGCCGGGATATAAGGAGAGACTGGAGGAGAAGGATCGGTCGCCTATCCTAATGCCGGAAGACTCTGTTCTTTTGACGATCTCTCTGCTGCTTTTGAGCTATAGACCCCATTGCTGCTGATGTTTTGATGTGTAGCCTGGAGGACCTGGTAGTCTAGTTTTTGTGGCTTTATTTTGTTTCCCAT